TTTATGGCAGAGTAGTACTCCACTGCATTAAAAAAAACCACATCATCTTTATCCATTCATCGGTTGATGGACATTGGGCTGTTTCCAAGATTTAGCTATTACAAACTATGCTGCTATAAGCATGGGTGTGCATATATTACTGTAATATGATGCTTTTAATTCTTTCAGGAAGATACCAAGAATACCTGGGTCAAATGGAACCACCAGTTTTAGTTTTTTGAGGAATCTCCACACAGATTTCCAAGTGTTTGCACCAGTCTACACTACCACCAACATGGAGAAGGGTTCCTTTTTCCCCACAGCCCCACCAGCATTTGTTATTGGCTGATTTCTTGATAATAGCCATTTTTTCTGGAGTAAGATGAACTCTCAGCATTGTTTTAATTTTGCACCTCTGGAATGACCAGTGATGTTGAACATTTTTTCATATATTTAGTTTGTGTCTACTTCTTCATCTGAGAAGTGTCTACTCATTTCAAATGTCCATTTTTGGATTGGGTTTTTAAATTTGGGGAGTGTGGTTTTTTTAAAAAGTTCTTTATATGTTCTAGATATTTGTCCTTTATCTAGGGAAGGCCAGCAAAATTTTTTCCCATACTGTGGGTTGTCTCTTCACTCTGTTGTTGGTTTCTTTTGCTATGCAAAAGCTTTTTAGCTGGGTGTGGTGGCACACACCTATGGTCCCAGCACTCGGGAGGCTGAGGTAAGAAGAGTGCCAAGAGTTGGAGGCCAGGCTGGGCTACATAGTGAATTCAAGGCTACTCTGGATTACAGAGCAAGATCCTGTCTCCAAAAAAATACCAAAACAAAACAAAACAAAAAATTGTAAAGCTTTTTAATAAGATGAGATCCCAGTTTATTCCTTGTGATATTTCCTGTGCCATCAGAGTTTTGTTCATAAAGTCTTTGCCTACACCAGTGTCTTCAAGAGTTCTATCTATTCTCTCTTCTAGCAGATTTAGTGTTTCTGTTTTAATATTTAGATATTTGATCCTTTTTATTTTAGTGTAGTGCATAGTGAAAGATACTGGTCTAGTTTTAATCTTTGACAGGTGAAAGGCCAGTTTTTCCAGCACCATTTATTAAAAAGGCTATCTTTCTTCCAGTGAAGGTATTTGGCTCCTTTGTCAAAGATAAGGTGGCTAAGTGTGTTTGGAATTGTTTCTGCATCTTCTAATCAGTTCTATTGATCTTCGGGTTTGTTTTTTTGTCAGTAGCATACTGTTTTTATCACAGTAGCTTTGTAGTATAATTTCAAATCAGGGATTGTGATGTCCCACCTTGCCTTTGTTGCCCAGAATTGCTTTTACCATTCTAGGCCTCTTCTTTTTCCAAATGAATTTTAGGATTGTTTTCTCTAATTCTGTGAGATATGCTATTGGTATTTTGATCAGGATTGCATTAAATCTGTATAACAATTTTGGAAGTATGGCCATTTTCACTATTTTGATTCTTCCTACCCAAGAACAAGGAATATCCTTCCCTTTTCTAATAGCTGCTTTGATCTCCTTTTTCAGAGTACTGTAGTTTTCAACGTAGAGGGCTTTCACTTCCTTTGTTAGATTGATTCCTAGGTATTTTTTTTTTGGATGCTATTATGAGAGATGTTGTTTCCCTAATTCCTTTCTCAATAATATTATTAATTTTTGAGTGTTAACTTTGTATCTAGCTATGCTACTGAATTTGGTTATTAAATCTAGAAGTCCTTTGGTGGAGTTTTTGGGATCTTCTATGTAAAGTATCATGTCATCCACAGATAATGATAATTTAACTTCTTCCTTTCCTATTCTTATTCCTTTTATTTCTTTCTCTTGTCTAATTGCTCTGGCCAATGTTTCTAGAACTATATTGAATAAGAGTAGTGATAGTGCACATCCTTATCTTGTTCCTGATTTTAGAGGGAAAGCTTTCAGTTTTTGACCATTTAGTATGACATTGGCTATTGGTTTATTATAGATTTCTTTTGTCAGATTGAGATAAAGACCATCTATTCCAATTTTCAGTAAGTTTTTTTTTTTTATCATGAATGGGTGTTAGACATTGTCAAATGCTTTTTCTGCATCTTGAAATGATGGTTTTTGTCTTTAGCTCTGTGAATATAATGTATTACATTTATTGATTTGTATATGTTGAAGCATCCCTGGAATGAATCCTACTTGGTCATGGTGTATAATCTTGATGATTTGCTGCATTCTGTTTGCCAGTATCTTACTGAGGATTTCTGTGTCTATGTTCATTAAGAAGATTGGCCTATAGTTTTCTTTTTGGGTTGGATCCTTCTCTGGTTTTGGTATCTGGATAATGCTTGCTTCCAGAAATGAATTTGGGAGTATTACTTCCCTTTCAGTTTCATTAAAGAGTTTGAGAAGTAGCAGCAGTAGGTCTTCTGTAAATTTCTTGTAGAATTCAGCAGTGAATCCATTAGGACCTGGGCTTTTTTTGTGTCATTAGGTTTTTACTTACATCTTCAATTTCATTGGCTGATATTGGTTTATTTAGAATTTTTATATCTTCTTGATTCCACTTTGGTAATTCATATGTATCTAGGAATCTGTCTATTTCTTCTGTGTTTTCAATCTTATTAAAATGCAGTTTCTGGAAGTAGGTACGGATGATCTTCAGATATCTTCAGGATCTGTTGTTATGATTTCACCTTTTTCATTCCTAATTGCATGAATTTGAGTCTTTTGTTTCCTTTTTTGATAAGGTTGGCTAAGGTTTATCAATTTTATTTAATCTTTCAAAGAACCAACTCTTCAATTCATTGATTCTTTGTATTTTTTTCTTAGTCTCCATTGCATTAATTTCTGCTCTGATCTTTACAATTTTCTCCCTTGTGTGAATTTTAGGCTTGACTTGCTCTTTTATCTAGAAGCTTGGAGTTCAACATTAGGTTGTTTATTTGAGCTCACTTTGTTTTTCTGACATGGGAATTCACCGCTGTAATTTCCCTCATAGGACTGTTTTCACTGTGTCCCATAAAGTTCGGTACGTTGTATTGGCATTACGTTTAATTGTAGATACTGTCTAATTTCTCCTTTAATTTCATCTGTGAACCCTTGGTTGTTTAGGAGAGTGTTATTTAATTTTCATGTGTTTATGAAATTTTTGTGGTTTCTTTTACCATTGATTTCCAATTTCATTGCACTATAGTCTGATAATATGCATGAGATAATTTCAGTTCCTCTGCATTTACTTAAGCATGTTATATGAGTTAGTATGTGGTCTATTCTGGAAAACATCCCATGTGCAGCTGAGAAGAATGTGTATCCTGATGATGTTCATTTATAAAGGACAAGTGATCTTGGTATAGGAATGCAGGGACTTGCCTAGCAATTGAGGTCCATAAAGAAGATAGTAGGACCTCTGTTTATTTTATTTTATTTTATTTTTAAATTTAATTTTTTGGTACTGGGGATCAAACGCAGGACCTTGCACTTGCAAGGCAGGTGCAGTACCACTGAACTAAATCCCCGGCCCTGTTTATTTTATTTTAAATGTCATCACTTAAATCTTTGCTTTATATAGTGTACATCTTTATTGTTTCAGATTTTGTTTGTTTTATTGTTCTTTAGTTAATTGTCCAGGGCCAGGGATGTAGCCCAGTGGTTCCGCAGCCTGCCTCGCCTGCCTCGCCTGCCTTGCAAGGGCAAGGTCCCATGTTCAATCCCCAGTACCAAAAAACAAAAAGATAATTATCCAGACTGACCTTAAATTCATGATCCTCTGGTCACAGCTTCCCAGATGGCTGGGATTACAGACATGCACCACCACATCCAGCAGTAATTTACATATTTACACAGTTTAATCTATAAGTAAACATACTTGTGAATGCTCAGGAATGTATTTACAGGGAAATGTGCATTATCAAAAAGTTTGGAATCTGCTATCAAGTAGTCATGTTCTTTGCCACAGGAATGTACCAGGGGTGGAGTTTTTCCAACAGCTAGGAATGAATTTTGGCAGGGAAGCCTGAGTTGTTGGTGAGAACTGAAGCCTGTTACATTCTACTTAAGGCAACAGCAGCAGGGAACTGTCTTTGCTTGAGAAGGGAAGAAACAGCAGTCCTAGGAAAAGCCTGGAAAGTGGTATCTGTCTCCCAGGCCCCCCAGGGAACCCTGGCAGGATGTCTGTTGCAGCCAAGGTAGCCTGAGGAATCACTGAGAGGAGAGAAATGACACCTAGGCATTCTCAAAACCTCACATGAAGCATCTCCTGTCTTCATCTGGGAAGCAAATACATGCCATCCAATCTTCACTTCTCACTGGAACAAGCCTGGGAGCTCAAGGGAAAGTGAACGGTGGACTTAATCTTTCCCAGATTTGTACAAAGTGATCCTCCACCAACTGGAAGAATACCACACAGGTGCCAGGGAGCAGAGCTGCCACCAGAGGAAGGGCCCCAGACACTGGCTCCTTCTGTGATGACGTCAGTGCTGTCTCAGTAAGAGGCTGCTGGAGTCTCAGTGTTGACTCTGCCTGCAGAATGGAAAGCATTCTCCTAAGTCCACACAAACCGGAATGAATACTGCCTGCAAGCAGCCTTGATGCAAATAATGTTATTAAGGACCCATAGAAAAGGGTTGGTAAGATAAGCTATACAGACTGGACTGGTCTGTGCACAAACAGAAACAAAATCCCAGCTGATGGAAAGTTATGAATTAAAAGAAATAAACATCGGGCTCACATTTCCATGCTCTTTCTGCAGACTTCAACTCTTTCCTTCAGCCAGTTACTTATCCCTCAATACCAGCAAGACAATGGGACTGGGCTGGGAGTGTAGCTCAGTGGTAGAGCATTTTCCTATCATGTTTGAAGCTCTGGGTTCAATCTCCAGCACTACAAAAAATAATAGTAATAATGGAAGCAATCTTTGCACACCTAAGACAGAGGCTTCGTTTGGTGCAGGGTGCCTGAGCTACCACCCACAGAATGCAACTGGATAAAGTATCTACTTCTTCTGAATATTTATCTCCTGTTTTCTCTCTCTCCATCACTCAGAGCACCCCAAGATCCGGTTACCTTCAGCCCTGAGGCAGACCTACATCCGGAAGGTTGGAGACACAGTGAATCTACTAATCCCATTCCAGGTGATGAATCTAGCCCTCACTGGAACCAGAATCAGGTTTTGATTTGGAAACAAGTACCAAGAGTCCTACTAGCAGTGGGGTAGTCTTCCTGGCCTTGAATGGAAGGGGCCACATCACTAGAATTCTGAAGCTAAATGATCCATGCATACTGCACTCCTGAGGGTGGGCTTGGTTAAAGTCAGGTGTGCCCTGTGAGAGGCGATAAAACTAATCCCTGCCCTCCTGTCTGAAAGGTCTGGAAGTTCTCAGTTTGGGAGTTTGGATAGCTATTTAGTTGGTTCCAGCCCCTCTGGGTGTCCCTAATCTAAACTCTCAGAGGGCAGGAGACTCAAAGCCATCCCTTTTTCAACTGTTGCTGAAAGGAGGAAGTCCTCTGAAAGAGCCCACCAACCTCTAGATCAAGAAATTTTCAATTACAACTCAGGTTACCCTGTGGAGCTGGGGTGGATTTGACCCCTACTGCAACAGGGAAGCTCCGGAAAGCTGTCGGGCTCCTCAAGCCCTATCCCCATTCCTCAGGGTAAACCCAAACCTCAAGCCACCTGGACACATGACGGACATGCCTTGGACACCACTCGAGTGAGTGTGAGGAATGGGATACAAGACTCCATCCTCTTCATCCGAGAAGCTCAACGTGCTGACTCAGGCCGCTACCAACTCTGTGTGCAGCTGGGTGGACTAGAGGCCACTGTCACTGTTAACATCCTGGTGATCGGTAGGTTGGGGGGAGTGGGAGGTGAGGTGATCCCCAGGAGCTCCTCCTGCTGAAGAGGCACCATCAGAGGGTGCTGGGGGAGCTGGGGTGACATCCCCCCACTCTGAGTCTGGGCAAGAGTAGAGGTCTGGGAAAAGGATGGAGTCAGGGGCACTCTTGAAGTGATTTCAATACTTACCACTTGTACTGTGTCACTGCTGTGGCTTTGTTCTTTCAGAGAAGCCAGGCCCTCCGCAGAGTATTAAGTTGGTGGACGTTTGGGGCTCTAACGCTAACCTGGAATGGTCAGCTCCCCAGGATACAGGCAATACAGCACTCCAGGGATACACAGTGCAGAAGGCTGACACAAGATCTGGGGTGAGGCTCAGCTGGGAAGTTGGTGGGGAGGAATGGGGCATTCTGGACCAGGCATCTGGCAGCTCCACAAAACAAGCATCACATATGGTGTCTTCTGGGGTCCCTGCAGCTGTGGTTCACTGTGCTGGAACATTATCACCGCACCAGCTGCATTGTCTCTGACCTCATCGTGGGCAACTCCTATGCCTTTCGCGTCTTTGCTGAAAACCAGTGTGGACTCAGTGAAACAGCCCCTGTCACTGCCGACCTTGCTCACATCCAAAAAGCAGGTAAGGAAGGCATAGAGGACACATGCTGGGAAGAATTGGAGAAAAGGAGTTGAAGAGGTATGGGGATCTCAGATGCTATATCATATCATGGCCTCTCTTGTGCCTACAGCTACTGTTTACAAGACCAAGAGTTTTGTTCAGCGAGACTTCTCTGAACCCCCAAAGTTTACCCAGCCTCTGGCAGACTGCACTACAATCACTGGCTATGATACCCAGCTCTTCTGCTCTGTTCGAGCCTCTCCCAAGGTGAGTGGGGAACTGGGGGAGGAGTGCTGCTTCCTGCTCCTGTCCCATCCTAACTTTAGCCGTGTTGCAAAGCATTCTAATTTAATATCTACTGCTGTTGCCACCATCTGCCTCTTGAACAGCAAGTTATTTTGGAACAGTTAGGGCATTTGTAGTTCAAGCTGAGCTGATACAAATGTGTTTCCTTTTAGTACCTCACAAAGATACCACTTCCTGACCTGCTGCCATTGTATTGTTTATCTGGTAGGAGAGATGAAGTCCTACTGGTTTCTCCTTACTCACCTACCCATACCTTTTCTGGGCAGGGCCATGCCCCTGCAAGCTGCCTAGCTGAGCCACTGGCTACTACTCTGAGTGAGGCTTTTGATTTATAATCTGGTCACCATATTCCACATCATTAACAAGATTTACCAACTACCTTTTGGATTCTGAGTGCTGTTCATACTACACGGAGGTAGCATCCTGGAAGGGGAATCTCAATAAGCCCACTCTACAAACTACTTTCTAACTAGAGGGAAAAAAACTACTCACAAGCCAACAATGGGTGCAGCATATGAATAGGTCTCAACACACATATATACAGTATATACATAAGACCCCAGGCATCAGCCTTTTATGATCCATGAAGGGTTGCTCAAGTAGTGAGAATAAAGTTATCACCTCTCTTTCAGTCAAGAATAACTTGATGGAAAGCTGGGGATTTAGCTCAGTGGCATAGCACCTGCCTGGCAAGGGCAAAGTCCTGAGTTCGATCCCTAGTACCAAAAAAAGAAAGGAATAACAGGCTGGGCATGGTGGCGCACACCTGTAATTCCAGCATTTGGGAGGCTGAGGCAGGAGGATTGCCAGGAGTTCGAGGCCAGCCTGAACTATATAGTAAGACCGTGTCTCAAAAAAAAAGAATAACTTGATGGAGAAGGGACAGTTTTAGGTGCTCTTTTCTTTCTTTCTTTCTTTCTTTTTGGTGCCGGGGATCAAACTCAGGTCCTTGTGCTTGTACAGCAGGCGGTGAAACCACTGAGCTAAATCCCCGGCCCCTAGGTGTTCTTTTCAACCAAGAGGATCTTGGAGGACTGTGGAAGGTACTAGAAGGGGAATCCCTTCTCATATCAGGAACAGGGAGTCCCTACAAATCTTGTAGGCAAAGAATCCCAAATGCTGAAGAAAAAGTAATTGGTCCTTACTTCCCTTTGCTACCTCTTCATCTTTATCTTCCAGCCCAAGATCATCTGGCTGAAGAACAAGATCAAAATCCAAGGCAACCCTAAATACAGAGCCCTCAGTCACCTGGGAATCTGCTCCCTAGAAATTCGAAAGCCTGGTCCCTTTGATGGAGGGATCTATACTTGCAAAGCAATTAATGCCCTGGGAGAGGCATCTGTAGACTGTCGGGTGGATGTGAAAGGTAAGGGCAGGAGGTGTCCTGGTGCCTTAGGCCGTGGTCATCTTGCTCTGCTGATGGAAAAGTCAGCAGCTAGAGACACAGGCCAAGGTGGAGGAGGGCTTCCTTCTCCGGGCCCTCTTATTACCATCAGAATATACTTCCATGTATTTGAGGAGCCATTTTTTATTATTTGTTTTGCTTCTCTCCATTATAATTCTGTAATATAGAAAGAATGGTTATTTCCATTTGCAAAGGAGAAACCTGAGGTACACAGAGGTAACTGGTTTACCCAAGGTTTCCAGTGTCAGTGAGATGAGGAGCTGGCCCAGTGGAAGAAGAGAGCCCAAGTCCGTTCCTCACTCAGATCCTTTTTCTTTAACCTATACAGTCTTTTAACTCAGTCTCAGAAAGCTACAGCTGTTTTCTCACTTTCTTTTACATTTTCTTCTGGTTTGAAAGTGATCACTTCCTCCTTACCTCTTTAAAGTAGCTATTCAGCCAGGTGTGGTGACCCATGCCAGTAATCCCAGCACCTGGGAGGCTGAGGGAGGATGCAAGTTTGAGGCCAATCTGGGCAACTCTGTGAGCTCAAGGCAAGCCTGGACTACATAGTAAGACCTTGTATCAAATCACAACAACAACAACAATAACAACAACAATAATAATTTATTCATTTATCCATTCCTAGCACCTTGTTTAAATCTCCTTTACTGCATTTAAGATATTGTTTTATAATTTTCTATTTATAGAGCAGTTTTACTATTTAACTATAAGCATGATGAGAGCAGGGGCAGTGTCCAGCCTTGTTTCTGACACACAATGGGCACTAAGTGTTTGTTGCATGGATGAGGAATGAATGGGCTTTTATATGTCCTATTTTTCTTTATGTATAGACTTCCTAACTATCACCACGGACTCCCCAAAGCTTAAACTAGAATATCCCTCTCTAATGCTCTGAAAGAAGGTTTCCCAGAGATTTCTGAGATGTTAACATTGAGAAATGTCTGCATTCTTGCAGCTCCTTATTGAGACAACTGACAAGGACCCAGTGCCTGAGAAAGGTAAGGAAAGAAGGACAGGGCATCTCAATAGATTATTGTTGTCCAATCTCGGACAGATATTCCTGAGCCTCTCAACTATATACCCCTTGGTGGCCACTTTTTAAAAAACTAATACTATTAGCCCTGTGGAGGGAATTTGTCATAGATGAAGTCTGATTTTGTCACATCGTTTATATGTCTGTACTCCCCAAGTTGGTCACAGGAATCAAACCTGATGGTCCTCTGAAGAAGGGTAAGAATTTCTACCTAATTGTGAGGGGTCCGTGGGAGGATGTGGGCAGGTACTGTGAGAAAAGATGTCAAGAGAATGGTTAAGAGTGAAGGAATAAGAGCTGGGGATTTAGCTCAGTGGCTCCATGCCTGCCTCGCAAGCACAAGGTCCTAAGTTCAATCCCTGGTACCAAAAAAAAAAAAGAGTGAAGGAATAGACAAGAGTATTCACCACAGGGTACCAGAGTGAATAGGGACAGGATTAAGTATTTCTACCTCAGTTTTATAAAGGTAACTACAGATTAACTTGTTTATATTTTACATTTCACAGCACTTTAAATTTCATACATTCTTTCCTAAGAGAAGCATAGCACTTTTTTTTTTCTTTTTGAGACAGGGTCTCACTGTGTAGTCCAGGCTAGCCTCAAACTCACTATGTAGCTCAGGCTAGCCTCAAACTAGCGCCAATCCTCCTGTCTCAGCCTCCCAAGTGCTGGGATTATAGATGTGCACCACCACACCCGGATCACCATTTTTATTATATGTTAACAATAATTTAACATTTGATTAGGAGGTTCCCAAACAGCTCATTATTGGCCAAGGGCTGACAGATCATCATTTCGAATCTGGTAGCTCCTTCAAATTCTAAATGATTCACGGTAAAAAAAAAATGTGTTAAATTGATGAGTCAGATGGAGGAAAAAAGAAGCTTGTGAGAGAATGAAAGAGAGCTAGCTCTCAATGTCTCCTCTGCCTTGTAGCTCCTGGCTGAGGAAAACTGAGAATCAATTCAATCCCCTAAGCCATTTATTTAAGCCCATCTTTGATACAGGCAAATAAAAACCCTAAGAGATGCATTAAAAGCATAAATTCTCCTCAGGAGAGCTCACTCTGCCAGCTGGCTTGGGAAGACAGTTCTGTCCTCTCTGCTCACTCTGGGTTAGTGCTGTGTTCCATCGGTGCTCATGTTAGCTCCCCGCCCCCATCTCGGTACCCAGCGATGATGGGGACAGTAGTAAGTAATGAATCCATAGCACAGGACCGAGGCAGGGGCCATGAGGAAGGACAGCTCCGCATCCCACACATGCTCTTGCTGTTTGCTACGATGGCTACAACACACCCTCTCTTTTCAGGGTCCCTAGGAAGCCTACTTGGGACAAGACTGTATTCTTGACACACTTGAACACAATATCTGATTTGGAATAATCTAAATAAATGTGTGGATCCTCAGTGTATAAGTGTTCTGTTTAAGATGTTCCATATGGGGAAAACATTTAGAAAGTTGGAATCCTTTAGGCAAACTCTATGAAGTTCCAAGACCCTAAGGCTCCTCTTTCTCTTCCCATATCCACATTCTCTTCCATAGAGGCTCTTACACTGTCCTAGACGGTCTATGACAGAATGAATTCAACTCTACAGTAGGAGATGCTGGAAAGAGGAGAAAATGACTTGCTCTCTTCCTCTATGGGCTTTCCACTATAAGTGGTGGTAACAGGGTGCACATCCACCACAAAGCAGCAAACAGCAGAACACATACACACATACACACACATGCATACATAGCTAATTAAAGACATACCCCTAAGCCCTGAGGGCTGGAATGTGAGTTTCCCTTGCTTATATTTGTTTTCATTCTTAGAACAAATAAGACATTGAAGGCTGCTGGACATGGTGCCACATGCTGAAGCAGGAGGATCACAAGTTCAAACCCAGACTGGGCAACTTAGCCATTTAGAGGGACTCTATCCCAAAATAAAAAATAAAAAAGGCCTGGGGATATAATTCAGTATGAAAGTCTTGGGTTCAACCCCTCCCTTGAAAAAAGATACTGTGATGGGCTCTGCAAAAGTTGGCAACAGTTCATCCCATCCTTGTAGGGCCAGGCACTCCTCCCATCAAGAGCTGTGCTCTGTTTCCCCTTCTCCTGAGTCACGTGACTTCTGTGGCAAAAGTAACACCTAGCTCAGGTAATGCTGTAACAATTCCGGGTCTGGTGCAGGGGTGCAGTAGCTTTACTATTTAAGGTGTAATAGTTTTTTCTTTTGTTCTTGGAAGTCAGCTCTCATACAAAGACTCTCAGGCTCCATTACTGAATTATGACTGGCCACACAGGGGACATCAAAACACGAAAGACACCAAAGCATCTGACAGCCGGCACCATGGCGCCAGACACCCGGCCACATAAGATCCTTCAGGCCTGGTCAGGCCTAATCAACCTTGTGGACTTGAGACAACTTATCCCTGCAGAGCCCTCCCTATGTATAAAATCATGAACAAATGAATAGCTGCTGTTGTTTCAGGTCACTACTTTTGGAAGTGGTTTATTACATAATAATAGATAACTGTGGCTAAGGAACAGCTCAGTGATACAGAACTTACCTACCAAGCTCAAGTTAAGGCCCTAGGTTTGATCCTTCACATCGCAAAAATAAAACAAACATACAAGAAACTGAAACAGCCTTCTTTGCATCACATACTGAATTAAATGCTTTATCTCTTTTAATCTGTATTTTACAAATGAAGAAGTTGAAGTTCATAAATCTCCCAAGTCATGTAACTGGTAAGCAGCAGAGCTGGGATTTAACTCCAAGGCTTTTGTGTTTCCTCTCATCTCTTTCACCTAGTGGGTATGGGTTGGAATTATCAGTTTAAGAAAGAAAAATTTTTCCAGGCGACTATAAATATTAAGCAAGATTTTGAATAGGAAAGAGATGTGATTTGGTTAAGAAGAGTGCACAAAAGTTTTTTCTGTTCAGACCAAATGTCCAGTCTCAGTTGAGCCAAAGTGCCTTTCCCATGAGGAGGAGTTTCATGAGAACTAAGCCTGTGTCACAAGGCATCCACTGTATGTCATAAGTTAACTTCTTCCTATGCATCTAGGATGTTAATGAGATGGGAGATTAAGGTGTGGCAAACCGGCTGAGCAAGTGAGCATGACCTGTCAATAAGGGAGATCCATGAAATGCACAGAAAAGCAGTTCCCAAAGCCTTGCACCTGGGACCAATTAGAGGATGCTATCTTTAGTTCCTCCAGCAAGACGGAAGCAGGCTTTTGACAGGACAGCTTAGAGCTGATGTCAGCCAAGGAGTGGGTAGATAAAAAAAACAGCTGCCATTGAGCTCTTGGCCACTGTGTTCTTCCTTTCACAAGTGGCCCGCTCTCAGCCTGCAGAGGGTACTTCTTTTTCTACTTTTCATTGGCCCACATTTGCTCTTCAGAGCATGTTTCTTTTCCTACCTTTAATAAATATAATACTTTGCTACCTTTTGCACTTGTTTTGTCCAATTCTTTATTCAGGACAAGAAGAATTTAGAAAGAATCTCTGGGAGGGCTGCAGCTTTAGCTCAGTGGCGCTGTGCCTGACTGGCAAGTGCAAGATACTGAGTTCAAGCCCTGGTACTGAGGGGAAAAAAAAAAAGAATCTCTAGGAGTCCTCAGAGCCAGCTACCCAAGCACACTATGGCAAAGAAGCCTACCTCTGCTGAAGCAGGTAGATCCGGAGCACTGGAATACCCCACTCTGATGTCCCAAATATGGATCAGTCAGACCTCAGGCCGCTCTTTGCTAAATTATTCAGGGTCCTCCCTTTAAAGGTCCTGCATTCTCAACCTTCCTGGTAAAGGAATAAAATCTTCACAGTAAGCAAGACCTCCAGTCACAGTTAATCCTTTGGCATTTAAGAAATCCTGCCCAGAAATCCTTTTTTGTTTATGCATTAGACATGTATATAACTTCTGAGTTAAGGCCTACTATGTGCCTGAGAGAGAGTGTAATTTCATTGAGTCATTATTTATCCAAAATCTTAAACAGTTGCTCCTACATATCATTTTGAGATTGAATGGGTTGGTGACAAATATCAATATTTCTCGTAGTAGTAGCCTTATGCTAGGTGACAAATTCTTGTGCCTAAAGTCTGTATTTTCTGGCTTTGTTGTTCTGATGGAGGGAAAAGTAGCTTCATTGCTTCTTTCCCCTGGTACTGCAACAAGTGTCAGACTAACTTCCAATTGCTAACCCCGGAGGCCACTGGTAGGTAAAGAGGCTTGGAGTGCCCTGCTCAGGCTGCTCCTAGGGCAAGAAAGAATGCAGACAATCCACAGCACCTTCCCCTCTCATTGGTGCCACTACTTGCCTGAGAGAGGGAAGCTACTGGCTGTGGTTTTCCAACCCTACGTACACCCCAAGTATTGCAAGGAACTAAAACTCCATCTGGTCCAGCAGAGAGGTGCCATCCTCTGCGCTCGCTCAGAGTTCTGGGCCTTTCTTTAGCGCCTGGCTAAATTCCAAGGCTCCTTTGCTCCCTGAAACATATATTTGCCTCTGAGCTCATCACCTCAACTTCACAGCCAAAACCTAGAAAGGAAACAAAAAAGCCAAAATAATGGTCAAAACTTTGTTTACAGGAAAGCTCCTCTGCCACTCTCAGGGCCTTTTCGCTTTAAATTTTTAGAATGTTTCTAAGACTCTGTATTAACTGCTAACCGATACCCACCCACATTTAGAGAACGTATCTAGTCAGGCATCTTACAGCTTTTAGTTCCCAAAGTACTAGTTAAAAGCACCCCCTCAAAAGTCCATAAAGGGACATGGTATACCATCTGATGTTTGTAATTCTCTTCATCCTGTAACTTCGAGGACCACGATCTTCGTATCACAAATAAGCACACGGAAGCCAAAGAGGGCAAATGTGCTCAAGCCTACCCTGCTTGTAAGCAGGCGTCATGACTGCATTTGAATCCAGACCTCCCAGTGTGGAAAGCCAGTTTTGTTTTGATTTTTTACACGTTGGATGCTTTCGCTGTTTTCTTTGCACCCTTCTCAGTCATAAGAAGATAGATCCCGAATGTTCTTACCTAAAAAGGCAATGGAGGATGTACTTCTCAACCTCCTTAAATCTAAAATAGAAATGCTTAGGTGCTTCCTTAACTTGGAAAAGTCATCGAGGAAACAGCAAATGTAACGCTTTCCTATTCAACTGGCCGGGCGGAAACCGCTCTCCCTAGGGAGCTCGGCGGCCCAGCAACCCCTCTCTCCACAGCCTGCAGCAGGAGGTGGAAGAGGGCAGGAGGGGCGTGGCGCGAAGCCCATTCTCATTGGTGCTTCCCCTCGCGCGCAGCCACGAGGCCCCGCCCCCAGAGGCCCCCCACCCTCTACTCCGGTCCCCGCCTGGGAGCAAAAGGGGAGGGGGCTCCTGGGCACGCGCGGCCACTCAGGGCCTCCCCCAGTGGCCCCATTTCGGCCCAGAGGGAAGATGTTTTTCTGAGGTTTCTCCGGCGCCCCCCTCCACAGCCCTCACCAGCCGACTTCCGGCCGGATCCGCCAATCACTGCTCACATCTGGCAGGAGTGGGTGGGGCCTGAGAAATTCGAAAAGAGCCCCGCCCCCTGGGAGCTGATTCCTGGGACCAGGCTTTTGGGAAGAAAGCTTTTCGGTGGAAGGTGAGGTAGGGCGGGAAGTGGGAACTGAGGAGGTGTGGCGTGGGTGTGGTGCCGGGGGTGTGGAAAGGTGGCTCCGGGGGAGAAAAATCCTAGGGGACAGTGGCGAGGAGGAAGAGGGGGCCTTCAAACCGTGGCCAGTGAGGAGAGAGGAGGACGCGGGTCACCTGGCGGGGGCAGGAGCACGCTGCACCTTTCCCGGAGGTAACACATGCTTGCAGGAAGGTGCAACTCCTGGGCACTCGCCTGCCTCCTGCATACCCCCGTCTCCTGGCGGCACTAGGGTGAGCTGGGAGTCTTGGGCAGGAAAAATATGTTTTCTCTCCAGCTCAGCTCTCAGCTGACCCTCTCCAGCTGTCGGGACATGGAGGATTCAGACGAAGGTAAGCAACCCCTGGGGGAAGAATGAGGCTCTGCATTGTAACGCCATTGTCAGGGACCAGTGGTTAGCATTCATTCTTCTTTCCCCTTCAGATGTCAAATTTATCGTGGATGAGACCTTGGACTTTGGAAGGCTGTCCCTATCTGACAGGTACCAGCCACTTTATCGCACTATTTCCCTCAATGGCACTTTGGCTCGAACCTTTTACTTATTGGCCTCTAGAGATGAGGTTGGTAACTTAGCAAGGTATGGTGCACTTGGGCTGCAGAGTAGCTGGTGGACTCGGGCCTCTAGGGCGCTGTTGGTGAGAGGGAGCGGAGGGGGAGCAGGAATGAGATTTCAGGGTGTTAAGGATAAGTGGATTCGCTGCATCTCCATCTTGGCTTCACTTCCAAAGTCATAGATACTCAAGGCCTGTTGGAACCAGCTGTCTCGTCACCTAGAGGCCAGATGTCACTCCCGGAATGGGCATCAGTGTTTGGGCTTGTGTCCCTGGCCTTGTTGCAGGGATCTTTCAGCCTGCCTTGCAGTTTCTGCTCTTTTGTGTGGGCATGGTGTCTTGTTTGTTTTCTGTCTCAGTCGTGAGGAGGAAGACATAGCAGCATTGGCGACTCCAGAGAAACCACTCCGACGGGGCCTCTCCCATCGAAGTAACCCAAATATGGCGGCCCCTGCTCCCCAGGGTGTGAGGTTCAGCTTAGGCCCTCTCAGCCCAGAGAAGCTGGAAGAGATCCTTGATGAGGCCAATCGGCTGGCAGCTCAGCTGGAGCAGTGTGCCCTGCAGGAGCGGGAGAGCTCAGCAGAGGGCCCAGGGCCTCGACGAGGGAAGCCCAGCCCTAGGAGGGAGACCTTTGTGCTGAAGGACAGCCCTGTCCGAGATCTGCTGCCCACTGTGAGCTCTTTGGCTTGGAGCACACCCTCACCAGGGAGCCTTACACCTCGACTCCGGAGCATCGATAAGAAGGGGTCAGCCAGGGCTCTTCGGGTGACATCTGGGAAGAGGCCTTCCACTGTGAAGAGGGTGAGTTTGGATGGTTGAGTTGCATGTGTGTCCCCAAAACAGTGTATGACATGTGACAGGCACACAGTGTTTTCCTCACTGGCCAAATGGGGATAGTAATTCTACCTCTGGAACTGTGGGAATTAAATAAGATACCATAAGCCAAGCATTTACCACAGTATCTGTCTATAGACTCTCTAATGACTATAATAAACTCAGTAAGAGTGGTATTAGTGCCAGGCATGGTGGCACATGCCTGTAATCCCAGATCTCTGGAAGGCTGAGGCAGGAGGATCACAAATTTGAGCCCAGCCTGGACAATTTAGTGATTTAGCGAGACCCTTTCCAAAAATAAAAATAAAAAGGGCTAGAAATGTAGCTCATTGCAAAGGGCCTGGGTTGAGTCACAGTACTATGCCAAAAAAAGGGGGGGGGGGAGTGACACTGGTGCTAGTGATGGTGGTGATGATGTTGTGGCAGCTAACTTCCGCTTTTCCTCACTGTGCTGTAGACAACAACCTGCTTCTCTTCCTTAATCCCTTAAACCAGCAGAGCAGATTCTTTCTCCATTCTTGTCCTTTTTTTTTTTTTTTTTTCTTTTGTGTGTTTCAGGAGTCGCCCACTTGCAATCTGCTCCCTGCATCCAAAAGCTCGGCACTGTCTCCTCTTATACAATCAACTCCTCCACTCCGATCAACTCCTCCACTCCGATCAACTCCTCCGCTCCGATCAACTCCTCCACTTCGATCCACTCCACCACCACGATCAACTCCTCCTCTCCGATCCACTCCTCCTCTCCGATCCACTCCTCCACTCCGACCCACTCCTCCACTCCGATCCACTCCTCCACTCCGATCCACTCCACCACGGGGAAAAACTGGGGCCAGTCTGAGGACAACAGCAAGTGAGACTCAGGCGGGAAAGCGATGGGTGACAGGGATAGGGAGGAAGTGGAACTTACCCTGGAATCCTACTCCTTTCCAGCAGGTCCACCTACCCCAGTCAGACCAGTCCTGGGCCCACAGCCTTCAACTAGCAACTCTCAACGCCTATCCAGGCCACAGGGAGCAGCTGCTAAGTCTTCCAGTCGACTGCCCATCCCCTCGGCCATCCCCAGGCCCTCCAGCCGAATGCCACTCACCAAACGGAGTGTACCACCTGGCAAAGGTGCCCTACCTCCTGATTCTCTGTCGACCCGGAAAGGGCTTCCAAGATCAAGTGCTGCAGGACACAGAGGTGAGGAAAAGTGGACGTAAGGGTAAGAAATGAGAGGAAAAATACTGACCCTGGCATAGCTTTACCTCAGCATTCCAGAGTTGTCAATAATGACCACTTTCACCACTTCCTTAAAATTCCATTTGAATATGGGGAGACTGAATTGAGAGAATGTGGGCCTTCATTTCTAAGTACCTCATGGTTTTTACCTGGCAGGAGAGGCAGTCTGCCTTCAGCTAGTATTTCTTCTCAAGAAGGTCAGTTGAACTTTCTGCTAACTCATTTCTTTTGTTATCCCCCATCAAGCTCCTTTTTCCCAGCAACCAAATCTTCCTGGTGCCACTCGAAGCAGTCTGCAGCCTCCCAGGAAAGTTGCAGTCCCTGGGCCCACCAGGTAAGATGGTCCCTCTACCCCATCCTCTGGGCTCCCAGCTGCTGTGCACAGCAGCCTTGAGTTCTTTATGGAAAGATTAGGAATGAGAAGGAGAGCCTGGAGCAGACTATGGGGAGGGGGGGGGCTTCTGTTTCCTCAATCCCTGAGGAGCTTGGATTTAGCAGGGAAACAGATGAGCTTGAAGGAGAGCTCTTTAAAGCAGTTCCTCCTTTATCTCTTCAGGTAAAGAGATCAGGACAACGGGCATGAGTTCAGTAGCAAACCACTACAGTCACTGCATGGATTCAGCTGTACCAGCAGGGGCCAACTCCAGGATTCTGGCCTGGAACGGGAGAAAGAGATGCCGCTGGGGCCAATCCCCAGGAATAGAGACCATATGAGTTGGGATGGATTCAGGTTGAGCTGGAGGAGACCCAAACTCTCTGAGCTGAAAGAAGATGAGGGGAAAAGAGGTCACCTCCCAGCAGTGAGATTAACAAACAAAATGAGAAATGCAGACAAGTGGCTTTTCCTCTTCTATCCCTACTCTTGTGGTCAGCCCTGGAGAGTCTGATCTTCTTCCCAGGCCTTGGTTTGCTGGACACATTTACAAGTGAATGGCTTCTGTAGCCAGCCCCTGATCTCTGAGGAGAGGTCTTTCTGCATCACATCCTCCACTGGACTTGGGCCTCCTGTTTGGAGAGGGGAAGCAGGCACCTGGTCTTCAGAGCTTGTTTCCTGTGAATTCTGTGACTCCTTACAGGCCAGTTGATGATAAGCTTACTCTGTCAGTCTGCATTTTTAAAAAATAAAGGGAATGTATTTTTATATTTTCTGCATATCTGAAAGTGGACTCTGGTCTAACTTCTAACAAATTTAGAGTAAGCTTCTGTGTAATTCTAGTGAGACAGCCAGGATAGGCCTCCCAGGTAGGGGCTTAAAGAGGTCCTAGGCCCTTGAGCTTTCCAGCTCATCAGGCTGTTACTAACTAGCCCCCTTGTTGGCATCTGATGGGAACAGGCTGCCTCTTCATGGATTCAGATAATAGAGAGGCAGGTCAAAATGAGGGTAGCTTAAATCAGTGTGCGAGGCTCTTACGCTAAGAGCTATGTAAATTATTCATATCCTACACCTGAATGTCCTTTGCTGCCAAGACAACAGAGGCTTCTGGGAACTTCCTGGCTACGTCTCTGCTGTGGTTGTGGGATAAGGAGGCCCCTTGGCGTCCCTGATCATCCCACATGGAAGATGCTGGGACGCCATGTCACATTTTCCCTCACATTATTAGAATTGCTTGTCTTCTCTCATCTTCCCTACTAGACTCGAGTGCTGGCACCAGAATTTATACACCTCTGCGGTACCCTAGTGTTGTGCCTGTGGCCGAGCATTTCATTCATTTAGAAAATATTTGAGTGCAAGATGGTGGGTATTCATTGAATAAATGACAAAGACTCCTTAACAGATTTAGCTTAGGGACTCACATTATTTGTAGACTTTGACTCTTGCAACCAGAACCAACTCAGTTCCTTGTGAGTTTTGAAAGAACTTTCTTCCTTGAAAGCCAGACCATGACTTAAGGAAGTCAAGAGCAAGTAGCTGGGCAAAGGAAAGTCAGACTGCCAGCTCCTGTCCCTGGCCATACCTATATCCCCTTAAATGAAATGGCCCCTCCTGTCCCTGGACTCAGGCCCCCTCCTCTGCCTTCCCCCTTTTGAAGGTTCATTTAACACATGCACCTACACCATAGTGACAGCTGCCTAGACACTCACCTTTTCCCACACCTCTTGCAACAGCTCCTGCAGCCCCTGAGATTCCAAGAATTCGTGTCGGGAGAGGGTTGCAGAGGCAAATGCTGAGTATTTGGTTTTGGAGAAATTTGGGATAAAGTAAGACGATCTCAGGTTCGTTTCCCAGCTTCCTCCTGCACTAATGTCTAGTGAGCAGGGCCTGTTGGTGACTTCCTGGTCTGATGAGGCACTGGCACATCAGCAAGCCAATGGACACACCTAGGTATGGCTATCAAGTAGCATATTTGTGTAGGCCGCTCATGAGCCAGGGCTGCCTTGAGTGCTTAGAGGCAAAAATGAACAGCAGACCCATGTGCTGCTGCCCTCTGGTGGCTAGAGAGGGCAAGGTGTGTCCTGTTCACATCCTAGGTCAATCTTGTTTGGCCTCCACCCCCAGCCTTTCCCACTCCAAACCTGCTTAGGCAGCATCACTTGGCAGCACCTACCTGCCTCCTGCCTGCAGCTCTTCTTGTCCAGCTACCTGCTTGCCTCCTCCCCTTTTGGCCTGGCTTTCTATTTTTCTGACTAGGTAATTGCGACCTCCCCCTACACCTAGTAGCAACAACAAAGAAAGCCAGTGTTTACTGGCCTCTTGCTATGCACTTTGAACTGTTCTAAACAATTTACATGTATTAACTTATTTAATCCTCATAAAAGCTCAGTTAGACAGGTGCTCTTATCCTCATTCCGCAGGCCGAGAAACTAAGAATCAGATTAAGTCAGTCTGGTTCTCTGGCTTTTGTTCATAATTACCAACTTATATTGCCCCATGCTAACTCCCTTTCTAGTCTGTTTGACAAACACAAAATGTGGCAGTAGCAGTCATGCTGTACAGCTCATACTTAGCTCCAATATGAGCAGTTGCTTCATATTCCAATGGAAAAAATAAAACATGGCCCAGGGCAGCAGAGTTAGTAGACATTTACCCTATCACTAAGCACCCTTAAATTTCCACCTGCCACTCAGCCATTCCTACCTACAGAATTCTGCCCTGGAAAACTTATTCATGTCTAGGACTCAGACCTGAGGGGCTGGGTTAAAAACCTGCCTACTCTGTGCAGCCTTTCCAGCCTTGCAAGTCCTGCCTGCCCTGGTGAAAAGGACACTTGCTCACCTACCCACTTTATCTTTGGAACTGCCAGGACACAGGCTCTGCAGTGATAAGGTTTGAGGAGCACTGCTGGGGAGATCCATAGAGAGGCAAGCTAACCAGCCAATCCTCTGACTTCCTGCTGGGGTCTCCCAGGCCCTGGTCTTTTGTTTCCACATCCACACCTTCTGGGGAGACTGTATCACACAGAAGCACATGACAGCAGCAAGGTACCTACACAGAACTATCTGTTTATTCAGTAGTATGGGGAATGGAAAAAACAACAACAACAAAACTCTACCATATTTACAGTAACAATCAAACTGTACAATCTGATGGTTAGTATCAAGTTAGCATCCAGCATCTTTTTTTTTTAAAGTCAAGTCATCAGTAGTAAAAACCAGTTAAATTTTTAACCCTTTGCAAGAATTGCTGAGGGGACAAAGGAGAGGGCAAGGGGAGAATTCATGGCAGAAAAGCCAGAAGCCAGCCTTCCAAATGAAGGACAGGAACATTTTCCATGCCCATAGCCTCTTTTTCTGTCCACCTGCTCCAGAAGGAAAGTCAGTGACAAGTCTGGAATACATGCTTAGAGTAAAGGGTGACAAAGAATGGCAGGCAGTTGGCTAAACTGGGAAGGAAGTGGAGCGAGGGGAAGGGCATTAGGCCCCCAAGCCGAGGCTGCTGGGTACACACACCCAACCTGCAATGGGCACATCAGACCCCCAGGATTGGACATGAACCTATCCCAACACAAAAGGCAAATAAATAAAAAATATATATTAACTCTCTCTTCACAGGGAGCTGGGGTAGAGTGAGGGACAAAGAGGAAGAGGACCTGGTCCTTTGAAGAAGAGAGCCAATTCCAAGAAGGGGTTAAAAATAGAACATGTCTCAGAGGCCACAGCAGGTCAGACAAAGTGGCATTTGTCTGATGTGGGGGAGTGGGGGAGTGGACACCAGAACCCAGACTTGAAACCTGTGCTTGAGGCCCCTCAGGGCAACTGAGGGCTCTGTGAGCCAGCTCTGTGCTTACTCTTCCTCCCCTCCCCACCCCACCCACTTGACAGCAAAGAAGCACAACTTAATACACGACTGGCCTTCCCAGGAGTGGGTCAGCAGGAAAAATGAAGCACTTTGGGGTCAGCAAACTGAGCAAACACCTGGTCTGCAGCACGTGGCCACAGTCCAGGGAAAGGAGAGGGGCTGGGGCCACTGGCCCCCTTAAAATGTGTTCATGCAGCATTTGGGGGTCCAGGGGCTATGAGTCCTTCTTCCCCCTGGCCGGACAGGGCTTTTCAGGTCCTGGGAGAGGCAGCACAGGCGAGTGAGGCACGCCCTTTGCCTGATCCCTCGCCGACTGAGGCCTGCCCAGCGCAGCCTGCAGGGTCTGATGCCCTGGGGTGCATGTGGCTTTGTCCTTTCCGTTTGGTGGTGGCAAATGAGGGGCAGGCCCCCTAAGAGTCCCCCTCCTCCCAGAGGCACAGCAGATGGGAAACTGAGGAGAGGCTGGGAAGTGTCCTGGGAGGTCCTGTCCTCTTTGGGAAGGGAAAGGGGAGTCAGTTTCCAGCGTATAAAAAAAATTAATCCCTGAAGTCATGAAGAGTGGCGATCCTTTTTAAATTCCTTTTTTCCTCTTTTCTGAAAAACTTTGTCTTGGAGATGTTGGCCCCAGGGGTCCAAAGTGCAGTGAGGGGAATGGTGGGGAGGGGAGTTGGCACTAAATGGCCTTAGGTGCAAAGCCCAGGCTCCTCAGATGGACGTTTCGTCGCTGCTGCAGGCAGGCGGTGGGGAGCAGGGGCAGGATAAAGCACAAGACAGGAGTAGGGGCATGAGTGCAGCTGGGGAAGGGAAGGGAGCCTCGGGACGAAGGAACCACCGGCCCAGGGTTAATGCAGGAAGTTAAAGAAGAGAAATCTGGAGAGGCAGGAAAGGAGAGTGGCAGAAAAGGCAGACAGAGGTTAGCTGGAGCAGAAGAGACAGCGAGAAGCTTTCACCAGAAGAAGGAAACAGAAAAGCAGCCCCAGCTCCCTACCCTCCCTCACCCTGCCCAATGCCCAGGGCTGGGCTCTGACACATACAGCCCAGGGGGTGCTGGCCCACCCCCAGTGGGTCTGGACACAGCAGGGAGCTGGATCTTGCTCAGCCCATTTGTCCTCCGAATGCTGACCAGAGCAGCCTGGGAGGCCCAGAGCAGCTCTGCGCCCAGCCAAGACCCCTGCAGGCAGCACCCTGTCCCGACAACCCAGCCCCACTCACTCGGAGCCTGATGAGTCCTCATCCACAGTGCCCGCCTTGATGCTCATGGCGATGGGCATGACCCCATTTAGCTGCTCCTGCAGGCTCTGCCGGGGTGGAGGGCGGGGAGGGAGCCCACCCCGGCTGCCCTCACTGGCTGAGGAGCCCCGAGACGACCCCGTGCCCTGCTCCAGGGGAAGCCGTAGGAGGCTGCTCTTCTCACTGATGGTGGGCAGACACTTCTTCTTGAGGATGCCTGGGGGCCAGGAGGGTGGATGCCATGAGGAGCAGGCAGGAGGAGCAAGGGCTCCCAGGGAGCCCCAGCAGCCACAGGGCCGTGTGAGGGTGCTGACTGGCGATGTGGCGTCTGGGTGCCCCGCTCACCTTTCTGAGGTTGGGCAGAAGGGCCTGGGAGGGGGCCCAGCAACCCCTCCCGAGACATGGTGTCTCCATTCTCCCTTGGCCGCTCCTCAGCGGCCCCGCTGCCACCATTCTCCTTTGCTGTGGTCCCAAAGTCTCCTGGCCAGGGAATCTTCCCAGGCCCTGGACCTCCATCTGGCAAGGAAAGAAAGTAGATAAGGCCGGAGACTGCAGACAGCTTGGAGAGCCACTGCCCCAGTCCTGCTTCCCAAGAAGCCCAGGCCTCTCGGGTTCCCACTGCCCCCCAAAGGCCACAGTCTGGTGTTGGCCCACCCTTGGGGGTACTGTGCAGGGGCAG